AAAGCCCTTTCCTGTGGGCTGGGGGCAGCGGGAGGGATGGTGACCGGGAAGCCCCTTCCTCTGGTCCAGGAGCAGTGGGATGGTGGCTCAGAAGCCCCTACCTCTGGGCCGGGAGCAGCGGGACTCAGTACCATGGTCTGGTGGTCTGGTGTCCTCTGCTTCTTTGTAGTGTGGAACCAGGTGGCTGTACAGAGGAGTGGTGGTGGTGGGGGTCCAGTGGATTGTTGCCGGGACGCAGGCTGATTCGGCGAGTTCTGTGAGACTCGGGACCTCGGTAGGGCATGCGCAGACCTGCCTGTCTGCACTGGGCTGATTTGGCATGTTCCGTGCAACTTGGGATAAATCTTAAATATTACAGTAAAGGACACATTGACACTAATACTCTTCAAAATATACCCATTCCTTCAAACACACTTACTCCATAGTTCTTGCCACTTTCTGAAGCAGTTCTGGAAGACCTCTTTAAGTTTCTTCACTTGTACTATCCTGGTTGCCTTCATGTCCTGAATTGATTCAAAATATTTGCCTTTCATGCTCATTTTGACTTTGGGGTAGAGTCAGAAATTGCGTGGTCCTAGATCCAGTAGATGGATGAGGACACATCATAATGTTTTTGTAAGTCTGCCTTCTATTGGATGGCATTCAGTAGCAGAATTCACCCACAAAGGAGAACTTCCAGAACTGTTACAGAAAATAGCAAGAACAATGGGATAAGTGCTTTTGAAGCAAAGGAAAGTATTTTGAGGGGGGTTAATGGCAATGTATCTTTTACTGTAATAAATTTTTAAAATTTAAACATTCATCATATATTTTGATAGCTTCTTTTATAGCTAGTTTTACAATAATCTTGGTGAGGCCTATAAAGATCTGAACCAGGACATCAGCAAAGCAGATAGAGAGAGGGTTGGTATTGAAATTAATGGGGAGTCCAGTCATCAAGGTAGTTTCCCAAGTGCATTTCCTCTACACTCACGGTACCTCCTAGTTTCAGGAACTCCTCAGACTAAAAATCATGTACAACAACTCTTCCTTCAGCCCAAATAGACAAGCCTTCTTCTTTTTCATGTCTACTCTATCCACCAGCCTTTCCTTTTTTATTTTCTTTCTTTATTTTTAACTGGCATCACAATTGCTTAAATTTTGGGGTACATACAGTGTGATAATTTAATACACATATATAATTTTTAATGATCAAATTAAAATAATTAACATTTCCATCTGTTTCAGTATTTATCTTTTGTGTTGGGAAACTTGAACTCTTCTAGTTCTTATACAATATCTAACCAATTATTGTATATAACCAACAATACAAAAATTCTAATTGTTATGAACTGGAATCATTCTACTGGGATGTAGCTAGGCCACTTTCTATGGGACTTCCTTGTCTCCTTTCATTACTTTTCTAACACTGAACTCCCCCCTACTGGAAATTGAGAGCTCATAGTAACATAGTCTCTTCAGCTCTTAGATCAACTCATATATCAAATTGCTTGTGTCTCCAATGAGCCAGGGAGACTGACCCATCGATTGATTGATTGGTGCTGGAGATGGAACCCAGGACCTTGTGCATACTAAATATGTGCTCTGTCACTGGCTACCCCCAGCCGTTAATATTTGGCTTTTCAAAACCGGAAACTTTGCACCCAGGACACTGGAAGTCTAGGAAAGACTAAAGATAAGATCAGGTTAATATTTTAAGTAATACTGCACAAGTAGGATCGAGAAAGCCCTCAAAAGCACCTAGTGCTTCACTCGGAACAACTCTGACCATTTTTAGTGAAGTCTCAGGGAAGATTTCAAGGAGCCCAAAAAGAAGAACCTTGATCTTAGAGGTAAGGGGCCAGGCAGGCAGCATAAAGGACTGCAGTGGGCCAGACATAATGTAATAGGGAGTGGTGGGAATTGGAGCCACTGACACCATGCCCCAGTTATTTGGTGTCCCGTGGGAATGGGGGCCTAGTGTTATCAAGTCTACAAAATTTTTAAAGAGAGGATGGTAAGCCTAACTAATACCTAAAGTATTACAGTTTTTTAAATGTTCTAAGTTAAATTTTTGAAAAAAGAAAAATAACTCCAAGAGCACCTGCTTTCAAACTCCTCATGATAGACTATCAATTCCTATAATTAATTTTTATTGATTTATGGTGAAATTTTAAAAAAGGAAACCCAGGAATGATGATGGATGCCTGCAGTCCCAGCTACTCTTGAGATTAAGGAGGAGAATCACGAGTCTAGGAGTTTAAGACCAGTCCAGGTAACAGAGTGAGAGTCCATCTCAACTACAAAAAGACAATAAAATTAGCTCTTTTTTTCATATAGTTAAGTCTATCCAATATAGAGAACTGCTTTTTCCTCCTATGGTTTTATATATATATACATATATATATATATATATACTTTTTTTCATATAGTTAAGTCTATCCAATATAGAGAACTGCTTTTTCCTCCTATGGTTTTATATATATATACATATATATATATATATATATGTATGGATATATATTGCCTATGTTAAATATTCTTGTTTTATTTAAAAAAGTTTTTACAGTGCTGAGAAATGAACCCAAACCTCACATGCTAAGCAAGTACTCTACACTGGGTACTCTACACTTATTTTTATATTTATGTTGAAATATCTTTTGTGAGTTATAATATTGTTTTTAATGCATTTGATTGGGAAATTAAGACCTGGTGATTTTTACATCATTTTGTTATATTTAGTTTTATTTACTTGTTATCAAAATCCAAATGATAGGACATCACTACTAAGACAATAGAAATTCACTGCAAGTATTTCAGCATTTTTTGTGGCATGGGAGATGTATTGGTTAAGATTAAAGTTCCAGAAGTCACATATTGTGAAAATGCAAAGGAAACTTTCTCCTCACTTCTTTATTTCATGATCAAGGGCACTGAAACACACTAGAGAGGAAGTGAATTGTCCACAGTCATCCAGGGAGTTAGCAATAGCTAGAATTATAGCCCATTTTTTCAACACCAGCTAACTGTTCTTTTAACTGTTCCAGTACTTCCTATGTCAGTCAGGCAGTACCCTGACACACTACTATGCCCAAATAAAGAGAAGTCTAATCAAGGGAAAACTTTGGTGAAATTGAATAGGTAGTTTGCAAGTGTGCATTTCTATTAAAATGTGCAAATCATGTATCATATTTACTTTATTTCGGGGACAGAGTCTTCATTTTAATTGTTATGAGTTGATTTTCTTTTGGAATGTTTCTTTCATGAGAAAGCCTTTGAGTATAAAGGTATATTACAAGCCTGGAGTGGTGCTCAGTGATAAAGCGCTTGTCTGACATGTGTGGGGCCCTGGGTTTGAGTCTCAGCTCTGCCACAAGAAAAGTATTTACCGGTGACATATGTAATACATAGCAATGTTAGAACCTCAGTTGAGGGGCCAGGGATTTAGCTCAGTGGTTCTGGTGCCTGCCTTACCAGCACGAGGTCCTGAGTTTGATCCCCAGTACCAAAAAAAACACAAAGAACCTCAGTTGGTCAGCAAATACACTCACTTGACTTTGTCTCTGATCTGTCCCAGCTTCTTCAGGTCTTATTTACCCACCCACTCTTTAAAACTGTTTTCTTAGGGACTAGGGATGTAGGTCAGCGACAGAGCATGTGTTTAGCATGCAGTGATAAAACATGAGGCCACGGGTTCAATCCCCAGAATTGCACACATGCAAACAATTTTGGTTGTTTATCCTGTGTGTATGTGTGTCTGTATCTTATTTCCCCACTAGATAGATACATTTCACATGGCAGAGGAAAGCTGCTCATGGCAGCTCAGCTCATAGCAGCCAGGAAGCAGAGATAGAGGAAAGAACCAGGGACAAGAAAAAGCCCTTTCAGATCACATCCCCAGTGATCCACATCTTGCGATCAGGCCCTACCTTTTTATAGCACTTTCAGTTGTGAACTCATCAACGGATTTATATGCTGTTGAATATTGGGCACCCGTGATCCAATCACCTTCCAAAAGCCCCACTTCTGAACACATGAGACTTTTGGGGGGACATTTTAGGTCTAAAACATAACAATTATGTAATTTTTATTTGTATATTATTTGTCTAACACTTGTCTTTTCCACTTTTCTGATTCTCTTGAGTCATGTAGGTCTCATACCATCACCTCATGCTGCCCTGACAGGCCCATTCTAGCTTTAGTAAGCTCCTGCTATTCTGGATGTCTATTTGTTTGCTATCACAATTCACAATTTCCTTACTTAGTTAGATTTGTAGTATTTTGTTCATTTGTCTACTCACTATTTGTCTGTTCTATGTGCCTAGCAATTTAAGAAAATGTAAATGTTCTTCATGGACTTATGCTCTTCTAACTTAAAGGCCAGGCACCGCTGAGACCCAACATCTAAGCAATATTTGCAGTTTAGATACAAATTTTAAATTATTGAGTAATGATTTCTTCCTCCTCTTTCTCTTTTCTTCTTCTTCTTTCCTTGTCCTTCTCCTTGTTCTTCTCCTCCTCCTCCACCTTTTTGGAACATAAGTTTTAAATTATTAGGTAATGATTTCTTCTCCTTCTCCTTCCTCTTCCTCTTTATCTCCTCCTTCTTCTCTTCTTCCCCTTCCTCCTCCTCCCTCTCTTCCTTCTTTCCCCTTCTTCCTCCTCCTCTTCATTATTTTGGTTTAATTATGCTTGTATTTCAAGAACTGTGTCTGTTTTTCTCCACTCAGCCCATCTGCCAGGCAGCCTACCAGAATGACTTTGGTCAAGTGTGGCGGTGGGTAAGAGAAGACAGCTGCTATGTCAACATTCAGGATGGCTTCAATGGAGACACTCCTCTCATCTGTGCTTGCAGGCGAGGGCATGTGAAAATTGTTTCCTTCCTTTTAAAAAGGAATGCTAACGTCAACCTCAAAAACCAGGTGAGGCTGTAACACACGAATGGACAGTTCTATTATAATTCCTCTCTGCCAATTGGTGGAAGTGGTGAGCGCCACTTCTTCATTGTTTATAGCTCCTAATACCTACAATTTTTTTTTTCTTTTTAGTATGACTTTGGAGGAACTGGAACTAAGGATATTTTACTGTGCAAAAAATCATAATAAAACATAGTTCAATCAACAGACATACTATATGATTGATTTAGTCTTTGTACTTTTGAAGAGGAAGAGAATGGTTCAATCCCTTGGTTGGTCAGAGCTTCTTTCTTTCTTCCTCTTACTTCCCATCCTTTTGCTCTTCTTCTCTCTCTTTCCCCTTCTCACTATTACAGAAGTAATGGGAATATTTCTTGTTAAAGAAATACTGACTTTGTGATCTATTATGCTAATGATCTGATCTGAAGAAGTTCCTATGTTCTTCTAGTATGAAGGAATGCTCAGAGAAACCTACTTATATGTGCTCATAAGCCAAGGGCTTGAAGCCTTGCAAAAGACATGGAGAATGCATTTAAGATGCAATATTAGCTAGTTTGGAGTCTTCAGAGCCAAGGCAGAGCAGCATATGTGTGTCTTGCCGTGAGCATCCTTGCAGAACTCTTCTGACTATCTGGCATCTGCATTATAATAAAGGCAGCATTTAAATTATACTTAATAAACATTAAAAGTCACTTTTTTCAATAGTTATGGATGTCCTGTACCTACTCAAGTGCATTCAATAAGCAAAACACTTGCCACTGCCAAACCATGTTAATGACCAGATCATTGGGAGTGACATTATCAGAAAATTGATCGCTACTCACTTTCTTGCATGTGCTTACTATTTTTTGTGTGAGTGGATTTTTGTTTGTTTGTTTGTGGTTCTGGAGATCAAACTCAGGGTCTCACCCATCCTTGTCAAGCACTAACATGAGCAGCACTCCTAGCCCTGGATGAGTTTAAAATCAAATCATGCCTGTGCTGAAGCTAACAGGTGAGCTGCTTAGTAGAGTGACAGGATCTCCCTAGAACACAGCTGAGCAGCTAGGAGTGCAGGCCTGGAGTAACCTACCCTGCTGGGAGTCAGACATCCATGAGTTCTTGTTTGTTTTGGAGCATGTTCATTAGAAAGCTGAGAGAGAAATGTTTGACAGCACAAGGCCAGGGCTGAAGAGCAACTCCCCTCTGTTTTGCAGAGGACAACTTCAGGCAGCCTGTTGGATCCTTTGGTATCATAAAACCATGAAAGGGACTTTAGGGTGTACTGTAAGTTTAGACTAATAGAGATTTTATCAGAGGTGGTTTTTGTTTGCATTTTCTACTTCCTAAATGTCTCTAATGGTGCTTTAATGTTTCATATTTTTTATTTTTCCCAAATAGTAGTCTTTATAAATGAATAACCTGCATAAGTTCTTTCACATTTCTTAAATCTGTTTACGAACTGTTTTCAGAGGTACTAAACAAAAAAAACCTTACAGACTAACAAGCAAAGAGTTCTGCTGGTGATTTGAAGCACATGCCTATAGAAAATGTTGATACTATGGAAAGTAAATGAATTAAAAAGGAAACAAATGTTTCTTTTTGTCTGTCAGTTAACTAATTAAAGAAAATTAAATTCTGATTAGGAAGTGGGCTTACATTGTTATCATCTTATTGAAGCACAATTTGGCAGTACAATCTGAAAAGTGTTAATACTATCATATTAGCAATTCTAATTTTAGAAACTTAAGCAAAGGACAAACTTAGAATTGTTGACAAAGCTCTGTGAATGAGGATGTTCAGGCAATGTTATTTATAAAAATTAAAAATAAAAACTTGAAATGTCCAATACATAGCATTTAGCTGAATAGAGTAGCTCTGTTAAATAGAAAACCATGCAACCATTACAATTTTATACTTAAGAATATTGAATGGCGTGGAAAGGGCAGATTCTAAATATGCATTTGTAAACTAAAAAGAGGCAATATATGATTTTATATTTGCAATATGATCTAATATTTTAAAATTCCACATATATGCATTTAAAAAGATCTGAAGAAAATATAGTACAGTACAGTAAAATGTAAATATTAACTGTGGACTATTTGATGGGTAATTCCAAATTCTATCATTATATTTTTGTTTAATTTCCAAGATGTTTATAGATAATAAAAATACTTGATATTTAGAAAAACAAGTAAGCATTCTTACTGAAGAACAGTGGCTCCTCCGTGTTGAAACTAACCTCTCCTTTCTTTTGCTCTCCCTTTCTTTTTAATGCTTTGGCTGCTATTCCAATTACCCATAGTCTGTTTTGCATTATACTTGTCTGTGTATTTTTTGGCCACCTTTCTTTTTTTTTTTTTGAGACAGGTCTCACTATGTAGTTCAGGCTGGCCTCGAACTCCTGGCAATCCTCCTGCCTCAGCCTCCCAAGTGCTGGGATAACTGGCATGTGCCACCATGCCTGGCCTGGCCACCTTTCATTATGAGGTCCTGAGGGTTCACTTTCTCTCCTACCCCTCAAAGCTTAAATCCATGTATTTGAAGAATTAAATTACTTGCATACTTTAGCACTGCTTATGAGCATGAGGGAACACGAAAAAATGGCCATGTGATTAAAATTTTCCCATGAAAAAACCACAAAATGGGTAATTGTTCACTATGGATTATAAAGGATTAACAGTAGCTTTTCATATAATTTCAGTTCTGTGTTTATACAGTGGACCCTCAAGTTACAACTGGCCTGACATACAAACAACTTGGTTAATTAGGTTAATGAAAGATTCATCTGCCTCATGTTATCTATAGCATGTACCCAGGTAAACATCCAGATCTCACCTGTATTGTCTTACAGCCAACTTGAGTTACAACCAGCGCTCAGGAACCAATGAGTTCGTCAAGGGTCAATTGTATTTCAGTATATTAGTTTTCTCAAAAGCTAAAGTGAAGGTGAGAATCCATCCTTTGATGATTTCTACAATGTACATTTACCTCTGCTGTTTGTCATTGATCCTTCCCACTGAATTTTTCCTTTACACTGAACTTTTCTGTATTCTGGTCATTGGAAATCTGAGTTTATTAACCAGACATATCCCACAGAAAAATGAGAACCCTAATAACAAAAAAGCATGAACTAAACTTTTTGATATGGTGATTTGAAAATATAAAAACTGAAATAAAAGTTCTTTTCTTATTTTTTAGAAAGGGAGAACCTGCTTGCATTATGCTGTGAAGAAAAGATTTACCTTCTTTGATTATCTAATCATTATCCTCTTAATGCCTGTCCTGCTCATTGGGTATTTCCTCATGGTGAGTACACCAGTTAGGGCAAAGGCCAATTTCATACAAGAGAGCCATGGCATGACTTGTAGAGTTTTGCTAGGCAGATGAGATGCTGTAAAGAAATGTAACACAATAAGCCCTTGGTTTGTACAGGTGATCCTGGACTTAAGATAGGGTTATATCCCAATAAACCTATCATAAGATGAAAATATGAGCAGAAAGTATATTTAATATACCTAACATACTCAGCATCATTGCTTAGCAGCACAGTATATTGTAGAGTATTAGTTGTTGACCCTAGTGATCATGTAGCTGACACTGCCCAGCATCACAAGCAAGTATCATACTACTTATCACTAGCTCAGAAAAAGATCAAAATTCAAAATTCAAAGTATAGTTCCACCATCATAAAGTTGAAAATCTTTTCAAAAAGGAAGAATTGGACAATTGTATCTTGGGGACCATCTGTATTCTATAAGCAACATTCCCAGTGCACATCTGATACTACCATTAAAGTGGGGAGGAAGGCAGCAAAAGTAGGTAACCAGGGCTGGGGATTTAGCTATGTGGTTCTGGCACTGGCCTCACAAGCGCAAGGTCCTGAGTTCGATCCCCGGTACCAAATAAAAAAAAAAAAGTAACCAATGGGCAAATAATCTGTTCGAAGCTTATTTGGAAAAATAATTTAAACTTGACTAGGAATCATTGAAAGGAAGCACAAAAATCCCAAACATTTTTTAAAAATCCTCTTTCTGCTAATTTTTCTCCTTTTTTTGTAAGAGGAATTTATGTTTTGGTACATCTTCTCTGAGTTTCTAATGTTTAAGGGCCCAACTTGATATGGATTGGAAGACAGATCTCAAGAAACTGACAAACACAGAAGATATTAATGGAGGATTTGAAGCCACTTTTCACCTTGATGAATGGAATCATGCTTGAATGGATCTTGTGCAGGGTCTTTTTCTTGAATAAATAAATAGGTAGCTGGTATAGGAATGCAATCATATTATGAGTAGAAGATGAAGCTTGAGGAATTTTTGTTTCTTTTTTCAAAAAGGGTGACCCTTCTGTGTTGACTCGTTCACTTTTTCCCATCTGGCTCCCTTGAGACTGGTTCCACCTCTGAGGGAAGACAAAGCAGATGCTTACTTTACTCCACTTAAATGAGCAAGATCCCTCACTTTTGTATTGATAGGCCATAGATTCTAGATACCCTCATTAAAATAAATTTCCGTACAAAATCTGCAAATTTAAAAATGTTATTATCTCCTTTGGTACTTAAATGCAACAGAAAATGAGGACCTCTAGTTTAATGTTTGAACATGTGGAAAAGAGTAAGAAAACTTTACTTCAGTAATAAACACATAATCTCTCTATATACCTGAAAACTTCTTGAAAAAATCAGTGTATTTATTATAGATTACCTGAATATTTTTAATTTGGGGGGGAGAAAACTATGATTCATTTACAAATCTTTTTAGAGGCTCTGAAGAAAAGCATCACAGCTATGATTAGCAAGGTTCATTTAGAGTTTGTTGACATATAACTCTGTTTTCCAAGATGGTCCGATGTTCAAAAGCTAGAGGTCTAAGCAAAAATACTGATGGTAGGGTCAGGGATTTAGCTCAGTGGTACAGTGCCTGCATCGCAAGTGCAAGGTCCTGAGTTCGATCCGTGGTACTGCAAAAAACAAACAAACAAAAAAACTGATGGTAATAAGTAGCCTGGCTCTAACAACACAAGTACACTATTTATCAATGGAACCTAAAATTGTAAATTTGTGGTGCACAAGGAATAAGCTACATGAGAGGACATTATAGGGGAGAGGACCAGAAAGGACTGAGTCACTTCAGAGAAGGGTGGAGGAGAAAGGTAGGTTAGCAGGTGACAGGAGTGCAGTACCAGGAACTTCAGGTGCTGACAGGGCTGACTCTAGGGCTGTGTTCCTGTGAGCAGGGAGATCTCTGCTTTCTCAGGGTCCTGCTGCTGGAAGAAGAAGTTTCCAATTGTCATGAAGTCAGAATCTGAAGGGACTAGAAGGGGAAAATGGCTTTCTGAGGAGACCTGGTTACTTTTATTCATTTCTTCAGTCCTTCACCACCATGTGTTTATCATAGACCAGACACTACGTCCCATGTTGGAGATACAATAATGAATACACAAGCACAGTCCCTGTTCTCATGAGAGTAGAAGTTGACAAGAAGTTATTACCCTAATGGCATAAACACACGTGAAACCACTGTGAAGCAGGTGGCACAGAAGTGATAGGTGTTATGAGAGCCTAGACAGAAGGGATTTCACTTGGTCAGGTAGGCCTGGCAATGCCTCTCTGAGAAAGAGGGCCTGGGTTGAGATATGAAAGATGAATTTGCAAGCAAATGAAGGCGAGAGGAAGATTCCAGGTAGAAGGAACACTGTGCATTGAGGAGCCTGGTGAGAACAGAAGACTTAACAAAAAGCCAGTGCTGCTTAAGCAGGGGAAATCTGGAGGTGAGAGAAGGCTTAGGGTTGTCTGCCCTAGAACCGCCATGCTGAAGAGTTTAGATTTGTTCTCAGAGCAATAGGAAGCTCCAAAGGGTTTGAGTAAGGAAGGGAAAGACAGGAACTGGGTCACATTCTCAGTAGGATGTGTCAGGTCTGCTGTGGGGTCTGAAAATAGGCTGTTCAAACAAATCCCTGGGTGCTGGGGCTGCTACCCCAGGACTACACCCTAAAAACTGTGGCCTTGATTGATACTGCAAGGAGGGAGGAGGTGGGGAAATTGTAACAAAGATGCACAGATGCATAGCAGCTTGGGGATTAACATAAATCCTACTGATTAAAAAGACATGGACATAGATGGAGAAAATATTTGTAATATAACCTTTCTTGTACTTGCTGTCTGTTACAGGTATCAAAGACAAAGCAGAATGAGTACCTTGTACGAATGCTTCTTGATGCCGGTGTCGAGGTTAATGCTACAGACTGTGTAAGTTTGTGTTTTTAGCCATTTTGAAACAATATTAAAATGACATTTACAGGTACTGTATTTGTTATGTATAAAGTTACTTGCTTTATTTTCCTGGACACTTTTACATTTAGTTTTCTTTTTTACTCTCATGGGCAGTCAGTTAAGATGTTATTTATATTTTTCCATTAAACTCATGAAAATAAAATCTTTACTGATTATAAAGCATTCGTTTTGACAATGATGAAACTTTAAGGAAAATGGAAGCTCTCATAACAAATGCCATCTTCAATAATTAAGAAGAATACATCAGAATGCCTAGGTGTAGATCTCCGTTTTCCACTTTTTACTTATGTGGGCTTTAGTAAGTTATGAACTGATTTAACTCTCAGTTCCCTTATCTACAAAATGGAAATATAGGGTACTTACCTTACAGGTCCTGTTCATACAAAGCCCTAGGCAGAGCGCTTGCATAGAGTAAGTGCTCACTGGCTGCTAACAGCTGATGCTGCAGCCAGAATCCCAACCACTTTCACAGAGCCCCTTCCTTCATGAAAGGTAGATAAGGACAAAGGTCAAGGAGAAATCCGAGAGATGGTGAGAGCAGTGACAGTGATGGGAGTGTCAGCTAACTTCTTCCCATGGAAAGTGTTAGGCTTTGTTTTTGCCTTTTACCCCCTTTAAATGATCACAATGGCACAAAAATCTATGCTACTTTTACTTACTTATAGTAATTGAATAAAATTTTAGGTTCAGTGTTTGATTGAAAAGGGCAAGTTCAAATTTGATTCCAAACCCTAACACTCTATTTGTGATGCTTAACTTGCTCTGTGTATCACTATTGTTCTTTGACAGAGAATATGTCCCTATCCTTGTTTCTATTTACATCATTTCAATTTTGATTATATTAAATTATACGGAAATGGACATAGTTTTGTGTGAGTGTGTGTGTGAAGCAGAACAAGAAAATAATGTATATTTTTCTTTTATTTCAAATAGCATTTTTGGATTAATTTGGATAATTATTGTATATCATTATTCCCTTAGATATCTTTAAAATGTGTTAGGTGATATTATTAAAGAGTAAATAGAAGATCTTTGAAATTTTTTTCATCTTCCCATTTAAATGTAAAAGATTTAAAATTTGTGTCTGTTGTCAAAATTTTTCCAGGGTACTTTTCTAGTTATTTCTGTATATTTTTCCTAGATAGAGATGCACTCTTACACTTCTATGCACACACACATGCATGTATACAGAGACACCATTTTTTTTACCAAACATTAAAAAAAAATCTGAATATTGTAATCCATGTTTCTGACCCTAAGTGTTTTCCATTGTAGTTATTTAGGCTTTGTTTATTTCATACGGAAAACTTCATAGCTAGATCTTTCATTCATCACACTAGTACATAATAAAAAGAAGTGATTATAGCATTAATTCCTATAATCTTAGAAGAATTTCCAGGGAATAAGGCCCGAAATTAATTCTATTGGTTCTGATAGTCAAGGATATTATTATTATTATTATTATTATTATTATTATTATTATTTTGGTACTGGGGATCGAACTCTGCACCTTGCACTTGCGAGGCAGGTGGCAGAAGGATATTATTTTTTTCACTTACCGTAACCATAATTTTATTTACTGATTAAAAAAATCTATTACTACATATTGGGAGTAGATGATTTCATTTATTGGGGTTAGTTTGTACATGTACATGACACATCTCAACTGTTTTGTTTTGATCCCCTTCCCTTCTATCCCTCCCTGATCCCCCCTACTCAGTTCTTGTTCCCATTTGCAAAAGCTCTATTTCCATTTTTTTCTTCAACTCTTTTAAATCCCTTTTCTTTTCCTTACCTCTCTCTTCCCCCCATCTGTTGTTCTCCTCCTCATTATAAGAAGATCTCCCCACTTCCTATTACCTATTTTTTATTTTGCTATTTGTTTATAATTTTTTTTCGTATAAAAGAAATCATGAGATATTTAAACTTGTGTGTCTGATTTATTCACTTAACATTATGCTCTCGAGGTTCATTCATTTACCTAAAAATGATTCATTTATCCTCCTTTATGGCAGAGTAATACTCTATTGTGTATAAATACCACATTTTATTAATCCAACCATCTATTAATGGGTGCCTGGGCTGTTTCCAAGATTTAGCTAATATAAATTGTGCTGGTATAAACATGGGTATTTATGAATCACTTTAATACAATGACTTTAACTCTTTGGGGAACATACCTAATAAGAGAATAACTGGTTCAAATGGAATTTCTAGTTTTAGTTCTTTGAGGAATCTCCATCCTGTTCTCCATAGTAGTTACACTAGTTTACATTCCTGCCAACAAGGTAGAAAGATTTCTTTTTTCCCTGTAGCCTCGCCAGTATTTGTTATTATTTGATTTCATGGTGTTAGCCATTTTTTTCTGGAGTAAGATGGCATCTGTGTTGTTTTCTTGGCTGATTTTTGAAAGATAATTATTTTTTGAGACAGGGTCTTGCTATATATTTCAGGCTGGCCTTGAATTCACTATGTAGCCCCAGCTGGCCTTGAAACTGTGGTGGTTCTTCTACCTCAGCCTCAACAGCGTTAGAATTACATACATGCATGTGCCACCATGCCTGGCTGAAAGATAAAATTTTGAGCACATATCTCCCAGCTATAGACTTACTTGATCTGTAGTTAGTGTTTTAAATTGGTACTAATGGAACATAACCACTATTTTATATTACATAATATGAACTTTAACAAGCTAAGTGTGGACTTATATGTCAAATTTATGATCTCATAAATATTCTGTAGTGATATGAGGACCCACCTTCTTCACATTGTGGGGATGGAAAACTATGGAGGATAATACAGTATTTGCAAAAAGGCTCATGTGGAAATTCTTTAAGGGAAAAGATGGTAAAATGATCAAGGTATTGATTGTCCATGCATATCTAATTCTGCAAACAACCCTTGACATAATTCAGCATTGGTTTCTCATAAGTTGCATTTTTCAGTTTGGAACAGAAAATGAGAAAGTGGAAGATATTAATGGTTTATAAGATGTTATTATCTATATTGAAGTAGAGCAGAACACGTTTTAAGTGCTAGAAGTAGCAGGCTGTTTTGCTTGGTTATACACTGCAAACTTCAATGGTGCTAAAGAAGCCACCCATTGAAGTTTGTGGAGAGCCTGAGGAATAAGCTGCCCCATTGGCCCTGTGTGTTTCAGTATGGCTGCACTGCACTACACTATGCCTGTAAAATGAAAAACCAGACTCTCATCCCTCTGCTCCTGGAGGCCCATGCAGACCCCATGATAAAGGACAAGGTAAGGCTCTTGACCCAGGTTCTGAGGTTCTCCTAGCAGCATAATTTACTTCTTATCTAGGTCTTGTATTGAAGCTAACTTGCCTCTCATTTGAATAAGAGTAAAACTGATTGTCCTCATCAAGCAATGAAATTATCCCATTACTTTTAGAACTGAGTGCCATTTAAAGATTTTTGTCAAGCCTGAGGTTTATATTTTGTTTTGTTTCTGTGCTAGGGATCTAACTTGGGGCTTTGGGCCTGTGCTTTACCAAGTAGCCATATCCCAGCCTTTACTGATTATTTGTGTTGACCTTTGACTCTATTGGAAGTAAATAACTATAATTTCTTTATCTCTTTAGCATGGTGAGAGCTCACTGGACATTGCACAGAGACTAAAATTTTCCCAGATTGAATTAATGCTAAGGAAAGCATCATAATCCTGTGACCTCACAAGTGGAGACACAGACAATGCTAAAGGACTGGATTCTGTTTCCATCTTAGACTGCTGGCCTGTGGGCCACCTAGCATGGATACCTCCATTATGAGATAATCATGGCTGCCATGGTTAATGTTTTTGAAGAGCCTTTATTTATAATGTTTTTTTACTCAATGGAGTTCACTATCACCATAATTGTTCATGGAAAACTATTAAACCTCTGTTAAAAATTGATATTTCAAATTCAGCCTCTCCTGAAGAAAAGGAGCAGAGTATCTGAGATTCTGTCTTTCCAGTTGTATTAGGCTTATAATGAATCAGTCTTGTTTACTTCATGCTGGGGAGAAAAATGTTCCTTTCAGGTCCCATTAAGTATGAAAAGGAGGAATCCAAGTCTGTACATTTGTATTGAATGATATGTATATGTGTGAAGTTCAGAGACTCCAATGTAAATATGCCTTTGATGAAACAACTTGAATAAAAACATATATCAATTGTTGAAGGTTGGTATGTTTATGCCATAGAAATTAGCAAACATCACAAAGCAAAGCTGTTTCTAGAAAGCCAGTTTACCAATGTACCCACTAGAAATTTTGGCATTAATTTACAAATAAAAGCTACCTTGGTTTCAACAGGACATGTAACTATCAAAATATATGTTCAAAAGTATCCTTATGGGGCTGGGGAAGAGTACATGCTTAGCATGTGCAGGGACCTGCATTTGATCCCCAGCACTGAAAATTAAAAGAAAAAAGTTACAATCTTCTTATAAATGCAACGTGGCTACTACATTTGCTAATTTTGTTGATTTTATTTTTCAATTTTTGTGTTTGTATAGTGCTCTGGATTGAACTCAGGGCCTTGCACATGCTAAAAGTGCACCACGGTAGTACTGAACCATACTTCCAGCCCCAATTATGTTTATTTTTATTGATAAAATTTATTGATAAATTTTATTGGTAAAATATAATAACTTATTGGGATAAAGTACTTCACAAAAGAGAGAAATACAACAATTATAATATAATTATGTAATAAAACAGAATCTGAATTATATTAAATAAGAAATGAATACCAAAATATTTATTTTACTTCCTTTACAAATGCTACAGAGTGGAAATATACTTTAAAACTTTGACTGGATTTTGAGAATCAAGACTAACCCAGTCATAGCTGTAGACATGAGCTAAATCATACTATATATGATAAGAGATATATTCGAAGAGTGAAAGATTTTCTATCCTTGAACAGAAAAAAGGTCTAAAAAAATTCAAATTTAGAAATGTTTATTGAACTATGTAATATCCTGAGGGAAATAGTACTATGTAGACATAGGTTCTGAAGTCTTTAAATGTCTCTAAATTATTTAAGATTCATTAGCAAAGTTCCTGTTGTGTCTAGGGCCAAAAAAAAAGTAAACTTCACACACAAGTGTACTTCAACAGTATACTTCAATACGCACCATTATACTTTTAGTAGTATACCTCTGACATACATAGTATACCTTTCACTTGATTTTAAAGTCGATTTTGCAAAAATAGTGGGGGCCAGGGATTTAGCTCAGTGGCACCGTGCTTGCCTTGCAAGCGCAAGGTCCTGAGCTCAATCCCTGGTACCACACACAAAAAAGAGAAAAGTACTTATATAATTTACAACTGTCAGTTTTGAAACTGTGAAAATTGAACAGTTTTCTAAAGAAATGAATCTAGATTTATGAATGAGTAGGGAGGATTGTCTAAGTGACTGTTACAATCAAAGGATAAAACATATGGTAATTTATTTCATTATGCTCCGACATCATAAAGTTTTCTCCCAAGATTTTAGTTTTTGGAGGTAGAAAATTGGGCCAGTATGTCTCCTAGCTACAGGCTATAAACTGTCAAACAAGCTTGGACTAGAGCTTAGGTACTGACATAACATAAACATGCTATGTGCAATGCATAACTTATGTATTGGAAAACTCATAAATATCCTACAAAATTATCTTCTCTGTGATCCAACTATAAAACTTGGCCCTATTCTGAGGATGTTTAACATATATTCATCTGTTCCACATATTGACTTTTTTTATTGTTGTTAAAGCACATTGGCCTTCCTGAGGTAGTATCCCGACTTTACCAGGAGGAAATGTCCAGCTCATTTTGTCAAGATCAACAATCCAGAGATTTATGACCTCAATGTCTGATACAACTTGTCATTTTACTTTACTCTTCCAAATCATGGCTTTAGAAAAAATAAATGTTTGAAGAGGGTTTATCCGAGTGATGTAGTAAATGTCTAGGTACTTTCTGGCTGTCAGGTGAAAAGTAACCTTCAAAATGGTTGAAGACATAATAGCCCAGGAAATCTATATTTATTATTACTGTAACTAACTGAAAAAAAAGTAAATCTGAGTTCTAGTGCCAAATGTGGAAATCTGAAGGAAAATATAACTGTATCTCTGCTCACCCTTTGATCTTTGATAGATATGGTATGTTTTCCCTTCTGGAAATCTTTAAAACCCTCCACTCTATTCCTGGTCCTAGCTCTATCTTCTATAACTTTGTTCCTAAGTCTTGTCAGTATCAGAAGTTTTACAGTGAGACCTTGCAGGTTTCCTGGGGAAGGTTGGCCTCCTCCTGCTTCATCAGGTGTATGATTTCATTGTACATCCGGTGAGGGGCATCCAGCCCCCAGATGAAGTCCACATGAGCCCACTCAGGAATATTCTTGTGATAGATGAGGTTGGTCACCTCAGAGAGCAATGTTTTCACATCTTCTGGATTTGAAAGCCAATCCTGACCTCCTGACCACATCGCTGTTGGCACTGTCATATCTCGAACATTGTACCTTAAAGGAGTTGGCTGGAGCAAAATAATAGTTTTAGCTCTAGATAACATGATAATATTTAAACTTCCCAAACTAATTTGTTTCAAATACACATAATACATAGTACATGTTTTGTAAAAAGTGCATGGTGGTGAGGTTAAAGCCACGCAGAACTCTTGAGTTTCTGTTCTAGTTCCTACTTTAAGGTAAAGTTACTTCAAATGATTGAATCTCAGTTCCTTCATCTGTAAAATGGGGATGATGTTGATAATAACTAACTCACTCAAGTATAAAAAACATGTAAATTACCTTTTTTAATTTTTTGTATGTGTGGTTCTGGGGAACAAACCAAGGGCTGTATACATGCTGAGCATGTGCTCTATCATGGAGCTACATTCCTATCACCTACCTGGTACTTTAAAAATTGAATAATGTTTAATTTTTCTTCCTACCATATATATTACAAGTAAATTACCTTTAAAAATAATGTCCCTGTAAGTGTAAGAGATAATTTCCTAAACATTTCATAGGGCAAGAATTACAGATATTTTGCAGAGAAAGGCGAGGGAACCTACTGGAAAGGCCCCTAGATCCTCACAGACATGCCCTGTGATCACAGCCAGCCCTTGGGGTGGGCCTGGATTGACTGCATCTCCAAAGACGTGGGCCATTCACACGTTGGCCTGACATCATCTAATTTTAACCAGAAGGGAGCAAAATTAAATACCTGCTCTATTCCCCATTTCTGCTCCCCTTAATCATCCACAAAGAGCTCATAGTCTTCTTAGATCCTGGCAACTCTCCTAGTCAAGCAGTACTGGAAGATTTGCCTATCTGGCTGACTCCTTGAGATTAACTTTCCATAGAATTAGCGAGGTTCATTTTTTTCTTTTAATCACAAAATCCACCAGGGAGCCTCGGCTCCAATGTTAGATGCCTGTCTTTGTCTTTGTGGCTTCCTAAGAATTTGGACTCATAGCCTTATTTAAATATGGAAGATTGGATTTACCTATGGAGTCAGTAATATTTTTTTCTCATCTTACAGATAAAAAGATTGAACTAAATGTCTTGTCTAGGTCTAAGTTGCCATGAGTCTATAACACTTTTTTATGTTTCTTCCCTTCCATTACCATTTTCTCCTGCCTACTCTGCATGGATCAGATTCTGTAGAGCTCTAAAGACATGCTATAGGAAAGAGTAAAAATGAATATATAAAGAAGTTTATACCTATGATTGAAAGTTTTCTATTCAGGTACAACCTCATAGTCTGTCCAACTTCCTAGCATTTTGTATCTAGGTTGATGTATGGCAGTGGATGTTAAGTATGATTTAAGTCTCTCAAGGAAAGATTATGCTGTATTTATTCTATAGCCTGTAGTTTTGCTTGTTTAACCAATATTTATTTACATTCACACACATACTAGTCAATAATTTTGGGGAAAGATCTTATACTTAAAAGAGCATATTTATCCAATTCTGGTTCTCTATATTTTATTTTAAATTTTATTCCATAGCACTGACTTCATATTTTAAAAGTAATAAGGTTTTAACCTGTAAATCACAGATTCATTAAAAGTATAATCAGTAAGAATGTAAAGATTATTTAATCCAATAATTGTTTTAAATATAAAATGAGTCCTGATGGATTAAAGTAGCCTATAGTTGCATAGAAGCTTATAGTGTAGAGGCAAGATTAACCCAACAATACTCACTTGCTGTCTAATATTCTTATGGTGCCATGAATCAACCTCACTACCTCCATCCTTATTTGTCTGTTTTTTAAAAATAATCTTAAAGGATCTTTCTAGTACCCACTATAGATATACTCTTCCCTGGACTAAATTAATCTCATCTTGGACCTGAGATCCCCAGTTTCTTGCTCACAAGTTACCATCAGCAAAGAAGGCCTCTAATTTTGTTACAGAAGCATAGAGGCCTCTTGGCTAAGCTGTGGATCTTCCCATATTCAAATATAGTCAACCCAGGATTTTTATTTTCTGCTTGAATTCTTATATTTTATTCCCATCCCTAGAATAACCTATCACTGTGACTTCCCTCTCACACACTTGCAGAGGATCTATTTCCAATGGGTGGTATTTAACTTTCTTACATGATTGCCTTTCTCCAGATTCTTGGTCTCACTTCCCCAATCAAATGCTCGGAGTTCCCCAGAATTCACTGCCTACAGGAAGAAAAACATTTATGAAGTATTCAAAAGTGGTATTGGGTGGCAGAAATGTGCTACCACATATTCAGTTGTCAGGGAAGCAGAGAACAAAGCTCTCAGAGCTTCTTTTTCCCTCCTTGGGATAAGTCCAAAGGCATGAACCAGGAAGAAAACTGATGACAAAAACATGAACATCACACTGTCTACTCCAGGAAGTGCATCCTTGTGAATCCATACTTGGTACAATTCCAGAGGATATGATGAGAAAGTGCTCAATGGAACTGTGTCAAGTGGTGATCCTGGGAGAAAATGACCAAAATCTAATTCAATTTAGATTTGTTTTTTGTTTTGATCACACACACACACACACACACACACACACAACTTTATCTCCTGGGATCACAAATAAAGTTTGCAGCACAAAGGACTCCTGTGAAATTGCTTTGGACAATTGGGGCAAACTTAGCATTATTTTTTTCCTACTTTCTTCTGCTGTTGGAGGAGCTGTAAAAGGGGAATATGGAAACATAACTTCCTCCAGGAACACTTTGAGGTGGCTACAGACAGAGAAAGGTCTCACTTGGGCTGTTTTACTTTTAGGACCCACTTTAAAGATGTCCTTAGGCCACTCTTGTTCTTCCCTCTCATCTCCTCAAAAGTTTCAATGATTGAGGTCAAGTTCACAGTTGATCAGATTGCATTTCATCTCAAAATAAACACAAAGCTCTGTACATCAAAAGGGTGTCCTTTGAGTATTTCAGACAAAATGTGCAAGGGCTCTTAGAAAAGACAACAAATTCAACATTCTTACCTGGCTCCAGTGCAGAATATTCTGCACAGATGTTCCAGCAGGAGAATGGGCAACATACACATTTGCTCGGCTCTGTAACAAAGCATGAGGGGGTCTGTGGGACACAGAAAGACTCACAAAATGTGCACTTTACCAAACCAAATCTCCAGGGTGTCAGACTATGAAATGGGAACACCATCAAATCCTCAGCAATTTTCTATGAAATAGTAATGTGCACATGAACAAAAATAAAAAGTCACCAAATGTATTCCTAGGCACCAGTATTTTTCATTTGAGAATAGCTTCTCATTAGATATCTGACTTATTTATTTAAAAATCTTTGCTACTTATATTTAGGATAAATTGAGGGTAACTCCCTGCTATATAATATTTAGGTGAGTTTGGGCAAGTTATTAACCCACTAAATCTTAGTTTACTAATATGTAAAGTAGGGATATTGATATGTTTTCAGTGTCTCATAGGCTTCTTATGAGATATAAATTAGCCTGGAACATAATAAATGCCTACCAAATGTTTTCTATAAGTCAAAGTATTAATAAAAAGGAAGAAATCCTAAGGAGTTAGAGCTATGTTCCCCCATCTGCCAGTCCTCACAGAGGTCACCCAGGTTGCAGAGAGATACATTGCCCAACGTGTCCCTCATTACTGGTGTGATCTGCATTAAATGACTGGTAGGTACAAGGGTATAAAGACCAGCCCTGCTTCTGATGTGGGACAGCTCTGAAGGGTCACCCCATCTTCACAACCATAGCTTTTTCCCTCTACCATATTCTGTTTCCTTTTCCTCCATTATCTCAAGAACAGAACTCCAAATCATTCTGTACATTAATGTTAACCTCCCTTTCAGAGTGTGCATCCCACAGAGCCCACCTGGGGACACTCAGCAACTCATAGCTGTGCCTAAGCCAAACTGAAGCTCCCAGACTTTCCATCAAAGAGCTTAAACTACAACCAAAGGGACCAGGTTGAAGGAAGAGCTGGATGACACCGACGAGTTTTCTCTGTTATCTACCAGGTTCTAATCTCTTTTTTCTTCTTTTAATTTACTATAGGCTTTCAGACCTCTTCCATCTATAATCTGTGATGTTAATATCTAGCAGTGTTTACCTTTCCAGTATCTCCTCGCAATTTGGAAACTAAACATTGCTGGGTGCACATCATTTCTCTAGATCTTCACTGGTCCCTTAAGGAGCAAGACTAGTAACTCCTGACTTAGTTAGGAAACTGGGAACTTACTTGGCTCTTACTTACCATGTTCATGTTGTTCGTGTTAAAGCCTCCCATAAGTAAGATGATATTGCTGCAAATCTGATCAAGAATCATCTGGCCACAAAGGTAAATAACAAACTGTCTGAAAAATCTGGTCTGGTACAGAAATTCTTGCTTTCCAAACAACCCCTGTGAAAATAAGATGTGAAGCAGCAGTCATTACAGTACAGTCTGGAAAACACTACTCTAACTTAAAAGTGTATGCTTTAGGAAACTAGGGTGCAAGACTTCTATCTATACACAAAATTTTCCAAGGTATCACATACCTTGATCATCATATCTGGCAACAACAAAAATTTGGTCCCAGGGCTTTTTGCATATTTAACAGTGGCTATAGGGGCCAAAGCAAAATACATTTTGATTTTTTGAGCCAGCTCTGGCATTGTGGAAAATGCAATAAAACCTGTAAGAGAAAAATATACCATCATAAATACTGAATATCATAGAACTCATAAAATAAATTTTACTTTTATCAAAATATTTTAATAATTATGTTTAAACAATGTCATAGCTCTTCTCCTACAAAATTATAAGCCCTTGATGTGTGAGGGGGTGAACCACAGCAAAAGCTCTTCTGTGTTTCCTATGATGCTTTCAAGTGGTAGGTCTCATTGATTAAATAAATTAATACAATCATATTTAAATTACTTAATACAATCATATTGACCTTGACAAAAAAATCTCATGACTTTGAGAGATAACTACACGGTAGACACTTTCTTTTTTAAAAAATTAATTTTATTGGTACATTTTAGGTATACAAAATAATGACATCATTGGAAATTTGCACCTTTACATAATCTCTCTTGGTTCTTATTTTTTTCCCCCATTCCCTTGCCCTCCCTATTTACAAAGACTTTGTTTCCATTTTCTCTTTTTCTCATATTAATTCTATTCCCTTCTTTCCTTTCCCCTACCCCTCCCACTTCCCCTTCCCCTTTGCCCCTTCTTTTCCTATTTCACGTTATCTATTATACCTATTAGTCCTTATTTACACTTTCAGTTTCTCACACTAGAGAAACTGTTCAGTATTTACACATGTGTGTCCTATTTATTTCACTTAAGAGTATGGCCTCAATGTGCATCCATTTTTCTATAAATGTCTCTATTTTCTTATTTTTAATGGGTAGTACTCCATTTTATTAAAAAAAACATTTTCTTTATCCAGTCTCCAGTTGATGGGCAATTGGGCTGCTTCTAAGTTTTAGCTATTACAAACTGTGCTGCTGTGAATATGGTGTACATATATCAATGTGGTATGATTTTTTTAATTCTTTGGGGAAGATACCCATCAGCGGAGTAGCTGGGTCAAATGGAACTTCCAGTCCTATTTCTTACAGGCATCTCCATACTGATTTCCACAGTGGTTGCACCAGTCTACACTCCCATCAGCAGTGGAGTAGGGTTCCTCTTTCCCCACATCCCCACCAGCATTTGTTATTGGTTGATTTCATGATACCAGCCATTCTTTCTGGAGTAAGGCAGAATCTGAGCATTGTTTTCATTCGCATCTCTCGAATGATCAGTGATGTTGAACATTTTTTCATATGTTTATTTGCTATTTCTACTTCTATGTGTGAGAAATGTCTGTTCATTACAGATGCCTATTTTCGGATTGGGTCTTTAAATTTGGGAGGTCTGATTTCTTTTAAGTTCTTTATAGATTCTAGATAGTAGACTTTTGCCTGAGGAATAGCAGGTGAAGAACTTTTCCCACATTATGGGTTGTCTCTTCACACTGTTGGTGGTTTCTCTTGCAGTGCAGAACATTTTTAAAAAGAAGAGATCCCACTTGTTGATTGTGCTAGTTCAGGGGCAACTGAGGTTTTGTTCATAAAATCTTTTCCTACACCAATGTCTTCAAGAGTTCTACCTAACCTCTGTTCCAACCAGTTCAGTGTTTCTGTTTTAATATTTAGATCTTTAATCCATTTTGATTTTAGTTTAGTGCATGGTGAGATACAGGTCCAGTTTTAATCTTTGGCAAGTTGAAACCCAATTTTTCCAGCATCATTTATTAAAGAGGCTATCTATCCTCCAGTGAGGCTGTTTGGCTCCTTTGTTGAAGATGAGGTGGCTGAGTGTGTCTGGAGTTGTTTCTGCATCTTCTAATCTGTTCCACTGGTCCTCAGGTCTGATTCTTTGCCAGTATCATGCTGGTTTTTTAATTTTTAATTTTTTTATTTTTGGTACCAGGGATTGAACTAGGGACTTGCGCTTACAAGGCAGGCGACAGAACCACTGAGCTAAATCCCTGGTCCAGTACCATGCTGTTTTTAATCACAATAGCTTTGTAGTATAGTTTCAAGTTGGGGTTGTGATACTCCCTGCCATGTCTCTGTTGCCTAGGATTGCTTTTGCTATTCTAGGTCTCTTCTTGTTCCAAATGAATTTTTAGATTTTTTTCTGAAGTATGCTGCTGGAATTTCAATTGGAATTGCATTGAATCTATATAGCAGTTTTGGAAGTATGGCCATTTTCAGTATGTTAATTCTTCCTACCCAGGAGCAAGGGATGTCTTTTCATTTTCTGATATCACATGGTAGACACCTTCTTGTGAACTTTTATGATTATCTCACTTAATTCTCAGAGTCTTGTCTACTTTGTTTTCTAAATAAAATTTTACTTTCAAGTGAAAGAAATTGAGAATTTAAAAAATTGCCTTATTTTGAAAGTATGCTCTGTACATGAGGGTAGCAGTGTTTTGGCTGGTTTTACTTCATTCCTAACTTTTCTGAAACACAAATCATAACACAGAGAAGGTGTTGACTAAACAGGTTTCAGTTCTTATTTCTTCCATAGATAGACTTGCTATGAGATACTAGTTATGTCAGTCTGTAACTCAGTCCCTCTACCTATAGATTTGAAACACAAATTCACCAGAATACTGCTGTTCAGGGAAGATATCAGTGGAGCCCATAGGAGAAAAGGGCTATCACATAAAGTCCGGGCATGGTGATTACACTTGAATTATCATGTACTGATTCTATTTTTCAAAAGACTGCATACTCTCAGTCTAGGCTGATATTTGGAGTTTGAGGGAAGGGGAAGGAGGGCTAAGCAGAGAAAAGCTAGAATCATATGACTTCTGACCAGTTCCCAGAAGGTAGGTGAATGCTGAGGAACACTGATTACTTCTCTGCTTTTTCCTACATCTGAGTAGACGTGCCTGCCACATGCAAAGGCAAGCCCACAAGTGACTCGTTAGGACCTCTTGCTCTCCCAGCTATAGCTTCAGAGTGGAAAGATTAAAAATACATAAATAGGACACACATGTGTAGATACCGAATAGTTTCTCTGGTGTGAGAGAACAGAAGTGCGGCAGGGGAAAGGAAAGAAGGAAAAGGAATAAATATGAGAAAAGGAAAAAATGGAAACAAAGTCTTTGTAAATAGGGAGGGTTGGAGGGGTTGAAGGGAGTGCAGGGAAATGGGGAAAAAATAGGAACCAAGATGTACTATGTAAAGGTATAAATTCCCAATGATAAATGTCATCATATTGTATACCTAAAATGTACCAATAAACTTAATGAATAAAAAAAAGAAAAAAAAGAAAGGTTAATAATACCTTAATTATATCCCAGCTTAATTCTGACCAGATTAAAATTTCCCTCAAATGTCAAGATCTGAGAACTCTATATAACACATCCCAGCAATATTTCCCTTCATGCAAAGCACACTAAAATTCTCCATATTAATAGCTCCATGGTTTATTGCCAGAAGACTCTTCTGCATTCCTTCCTTCCTCTCAAAACTCCATCTGGCCTTATCACTAGCACCTTTGTTTTCATATCAAGTTGAATAATTTACAATAGAAAAAAATATTTTTAATAGATTTCTGAGTATTAGGGTAAAAGCAGACTTACAACACCATAACCTTCTTTCTGTAAAGGGCATGGTGAGAACTAGTATCACTGAACTCATTAATGTTATATAAAATACAGAAATAAACATGTAAAAGTTAGACTTGTTTTATTCTTTAGAAAGCATCAGCAAAAAGGAGCCAACTGAAGGAATGGTCTGAGTCTCAACAGTCCTTGAACCATTAGAATTCCTGATTCATGATTCAATTTTATTTTTGACATAATAGCACTATGAGTAATGATCATAAGTGACTTCTAGGGAATTTTTATAGGAAAAGAGTCCTTGGTGACATGATTAATACCGAAAAAGGCTCCAATGAATTACATTATCCTCAATAGACACTGGCAGTCTCTACTTATATAAAACATTATGATTTATACAAAGATTGAAGTGGGAGAATTAAACAAAAATAATCAGTTATTCAGCTGGATTTACCTTCTTTGGAGACATGTTGATCTTGTGTACTAAACTGCATGTGCTATTTGCTTTAATAAAGGTCATTTGCTAAAGGCTCCAGACTCATGTAGTTTAATCTTTGTGGTGAGTCTCAGCCTCTCTCCTCGGGATTCTTGCTGCTGGGGCTGAGTAACTTGCAGGAGTCCAACAATTTGTTATACTGTCTCCTAGAACATGTTGGACTTCCATGGACATTGGATTTTTCCCTGACAATCCTAGTTTCATTTCTGTTGCTATTCTTCAAAGCAAGTACTTTAAGTACATTATTTCCCCTACTTGCTTGAGGACAGAGCCTAAACCTGAGAAATTTCAGAAAGAGGGAAAGTGGCCACTGTAGTTCTAGGAGATAATGACTTAGTAAATGGCAAACTTATGGCTTGGTGTTAGTGTTTAATGATCACTATAAACTTTTACAGAAGCAAATTTCTTGGCAAGTCAGTACCCATGGCCAAGTCATGGCATGCTGAGGTCTCAGAAACCAAAGGGCTGGGACTAGTGCTCTGGTGTGTTGTTGGATTGAAGGGAACAAGAAGCACACTTTAGCTGAAAACTAGCTAAGATTGTCCCACTGTTGTTTTGAATTCACAATGCTTTTAGTATGACAACAGATTTTAAGGATAATCTACTTCTTTATTTTCGGGAAGATTTGTCATAATCATCTCCATTAATTCTGGAGGTGGTAGTAGTAAGACTCTTATAGGAATCAAGGAATATGTGTATATAATTCCTATTCAACTTATAGACCTCACTGTGTAGTGGTTATTCAGCAAGTGCTTTTAGTTCGTGAGTACAGGTCTTACTTAGCAGCCCCACTAACTACAATTTAAGCATCTGTAAAATAGAGTTACAAACCTTTAACCCATATTCTTGTGCAAAGATGAAGCAAAGTGATTCATTTATAATGACTGGCATTACTAGGTGCTCATAAAAACATTTATTATTATGAAGTTGGAATAATATAAATATGATATTAAACCACAGATAGCAAAGAATGCACAAAAATTAAAATGTTTACAAAACTATTTCCATATTCAGGAATATAGCCATATCCTGGTAACAACACAGCTGTGCTGCTTAAAGAATGCATATTTCTTCTAATAAGTGATTGCTCACTTTTCTTTTTATAATCCAGCCTTGACCTTTGACTCAGGGTTTAGTCTCAGGGCAAAAGAAAGAGCTCTTAGTCCCAGAGAGCTTCCTCCTTATGACACACTGTGTCTCTTAGGATTTTTCTTCCTCCTAATCCAAGCCATGCACACTTTTCCTATTGATTTTAGTCTGATACAGGGCCAGGAGAGCCACAGTCTCCATCCCCCACCAACCCAAGCTGTACCTGCAGGGGCCTCCATTTAATGTCTCTCATATATTTATTCAAAGCAAAAGGGCACCAGTGCATAATTCCAGAGATTGGCATTAGCAGGAAAAGACTCCATCACTTCTGCTTCTAATCACTTCTGCTTCTAATATGATGATAATGCTCTATTTATTGGTTATCTATTATGTCTATCATTCATTCATTCAGGGTATTTACTGAGTACATACACTCTACCAGAAACTTCTCTTACTGCTGTGCCTTTGACAAAATCCTTGCTTTTACAGATTTGACATACTTTATAATATGGAATAGTCCAGACAGTTGTAATACCTCTAAGAGAGGGTGATTATTCCCACTTTGTAGATGAGGAAACAGATTAGTGAGTTAAATAATTTACTCAAGGATATTTACCTAATGGATGGCAAAGATAATATTTGAATCCTCATCTGAGTCCAAGCTCATTCTGCCATACCACAGATCTCCCTCAATCCCTGTTTCTCTCAGATATTAGAGTCACTGGAGAGAAGAAAATCAGACCTGAGAGAAGCATGAGATTATTGGCACAGGAACAGTTGGTGCCTTGGGCTCACATTTCTTCAGAGCATACAAACCTGATTTCCTTTGAACCTACCCATGGTTGTGCCCTGTGAATAGCCGACATAGTAGATCTTTTCCTGGCCCGTTTTCTGCAAAATAAAGTTTATCACTGCAGGAAGGTCAAACCTAGCCATCTCATCATAACTACAAGGGGAAAAGACAAAGTTTTATGAAAAATTATAATCAGGTACAAACAGAACCACCTTCTTCCCAGGGTTTACAAATAAGTACGTGAAGTGCTGGCCCAGAAAACTTGTTACTATGCCCCTCACAACACTCAGGAAGGACCTGTTTCACAACTGAGATTCTTTGGTGCCCCTGGGGTCACTGGCTGTCAGCCAGCTACTGTTTGCTCCAGATGCTATCACAGAGTGATAATCGCCAGCAAGTATTGATTACACGGTCCACCTCCTAGTGGAGGGGTCCTCCTGCACTGTTGGCAGATGGTAAAGGGCCATAAAGATTTCTTTATGGGAAAATATTAAGCAGGAATCCTTCTCTGATCAAATGTATCCAGAGCAGATTGTTATCAATAGATAATTTAAGTAAAAAACATGAAAAACTTTTTGTAAGGCCATGAGAGATATTAGTCAAATTGATAGTTTTCTTTCTTTTAAAAACTGCTGCCTGGTCTCATTTCTTTCTGGAGGTATCAGCCCTTGTCACCACTCATGGAAGAGTTAGTCTCAGGCTAACCACCTACAAGGAAATGGATCTACACATCTCTTGGTCCAGTCTCAATCACTGAATGTCAACTACCATTCACATCTCATTAGTCACATCCAAACTTCAATGTGGGGAACCCAATATTCCCTGTACTTCCGCCAAGGAATCACTAGCTAATTGGCAAAATTGGGGAATATCATATTAGGATATTGATGACACAAACAAAATAATTTATCCAATTACTTGAAGCTCTAATTCTTTACCCACTTCTTCCAAAGGCATTCATGCCCACTTTGATCTCATGATTTTCATATACCTAAAAGCCCAGAACTCATCTTGATCAATAGAGAGGGTCTTGTGTTTCCGAGACCAGGTGTTTCCCCTGCTGTTCCCCATCCACACATCGAAACCAGCATCTGCCAGGATGAAGCCCAGGCTGTTGTTAGGCAGGTTGGAAATCCAGTTGCTGGCATCGCCAAGCAGACCATGCTGCAGTAACACCACTGGCCTGGAACCTGCAGACATGAGGGATGTTCAACTGTATGATTTGTCCTTCTCCTTTCTGTTATTTTGTAACCTGCAAGGGCTTTTGAGTCAGGCAAACCTACAATCAAATCTTGATTCAGCCATTTGCTAGCTGGATTATCTTGACCAATTACTTCACATTTTTGTATCTTAATTTCCTCATCAGTGGTGAAATCTGATTTTTCTTCTGACTTTAAAACATCCGAAGTAACAGCACAATGCTTGGCAAAGAAACAATTCATAACAATTCAGCTTTCATTGTTCTTGTATAATTATTATTAGGGAACTTGTCTAGCATCCTCAGAAAGTGTTAGAGGTAGTCCAGTAGAGAGTATACTATCATGATTAAGATCAGATAGATAGATACCTTAATATAATGTCTGTTCATATATACACACATATATAAAATGATGTAATGATTAAAGGTCCTTCATGTTAAAAGGACCTATATACCAGATTGAAAGGAATTCCTTTCAGTACAGGAAATTTTGATCATCAAAATAAAATTACAGTACAATTAGAGTTGTGAACTTTCACAGATACAAATAGACATCCAATTACAAACACTCATAGATGCAAACAAATGGAGAAGCTCCTGTGTCTGTTGGACATTGTCACAGTTGTGCCACTGTGTGCTCACTGTACAGTGCGGTAGTGTACAGTGCTCAATCGGAGCCCAACATGTCTGGAAGCAAGAGGAAAAGCAGTGGTGAAGTGCAGGGGACTTCTGGGAAGCACAAACCAATACCCATGGAAACAAAGGTGAAAATTATTGAGAGAATGGACCAATGCAAAAAGATGGTAGATGTTGCTCCACAATCTCCCACCTCCCTTTCTCCTCCAGATAGTAACTCTTTGCTTGTCAGTTCACTCCATGCATCCCCTAGATGTCAGTTGTTGTACTGTACTGTACCACTATTTTAGGTAACTGTAAAAGTAAAAATAATTTATGTACAGTATTTTTGTATGGTTGGTATTTTATGCTTTACATTTTATATTTGTATCAAAGGTGTATAAGACTCACTTTGTCAGACTTACCAACAAATGTGACTTACGAACATTCCCCTGGACTCGAACTCATTCTAAATTAGTAATTTACTGTAATGCACTATAACCCATTGAATACTCTAAGACTGAAGTTAAAGGAGAGCTGTAGGAACAATATCAACCACTAGATAGGACTATCCCACACTGACAGCATTAAAAGGCTGATTCCTTTAATCCCAAACTTCTTGACAATGCTACTTGACAATAAGAAAATAGTAAATCAGCAGGATATAAGAAAACAAAGCTTGATTAGTGAATAGAGGCTACAGGTAACCCTGGTACTTAGCAACTGCTGCATTTACTCAACTCCTGGGAAGAGCCATGCCTTATGTACCTGCCCCAGGGATTTAAGGTTTAGTGAAATATTTTCTCTCCATTCCCAGTCTACTCACTTATTATACAAAATTAATTGATTGTTTGATTGAATGATTCATTTATTCATTCTACAAATACAGTATTTGGTAGCACCAATAATATGCTCAGCACTCTTTTGGCTACTGTATATAACCCAGAACAAAAATAGATGAAGTCCCTACTCCTGTTGAGTTTCCACTCTGGTAGGCCACAGACAGACAATAAACTAACAAGTAAGCATTTATCACATCAGGTTCTGTCAAGTGCTATAAGGATAAGAAAGCAGGGTCAGGGGCCAGATATCAATAGGTGACAAGAGGTTGCTTTTTTTTTTTTTAGTAGAGTGATCAGGGAAAAAAAGCTGGGCAAGCTGCATTGGTGTCTGATGGAAGAGTGGTCCAAAGACAGAACTGTGAGTTCAAAGGCACTGAGCTGGAAACATGCTGGGCAGGTAGCAGCTAGTGTAAAAAACAGGTTGATTTAAAAAAGCTACATGAGTACAAACTGAAATAATATTGAATCCTGAATCTTCTTTATGCAAAAGGCCAATAGCATTTACCCAGTACTTTTTGTTATAGTTAAGAACATGAGCCACAGTGTCAAGCAGATCTGGATTTGAGTGCAACATATTGGCAAGCACTAGCACAGACATTCTGGACCAGTTACATAACCACTGTGAGTGGCAACATCCTAGGGTTACTGTGAAAATAAAATGGGGCTAATGAAAATAAAGCACTTAATATTGCACTTGGAATATAGAAATAACACAAGAAATTCTACTACCTGTATGCATGAAAGAGAATGTAGCTGCTGCTACAAACAAGGCACTACAGAATTAAAAAGGTTAGGGCCAAGTGGAAATGGGAGATGAACAGACTTTAATTAGTAATGAAAATGAATTTTTAGAAGCCAGTATTCACTGAGAATCTTACATATTTAAAGATGGAATTACAAAACCATTTAAAATGTATCAAACATTTAAAATGTGCACATGGAGCCTGGTTCTTTAAAAGTCGTTAGTGAAAAGTGAGCCAATGCCTTAAATATTTAAAGTATTCTTTGGATGAGGAGTACAGTGTGCAGTGGTGAGGATCAGATGCTGAACTGGTGTTTGCATTCTTCATGAGCAGGCCTTGGTGGGTGTGTTCAAGGGATCACTGGTGAATATTCTAGAACACTGGTATGTATTTATATAATATGTAGGAGAAGTTTTGGAAAAGGTTAAGTGGTATAAGGGGTCAAGAGGTGGATTTTTTCATGAAGTTATTTTGTAGTGTTGGGGATTGAAGCCAGAAACTCACACATGTTAAGCACATTTTCTACCACTGAATTTCCTAGCCCCCTCCAACCAGAAGGTGTTTTTTGAAAAGCAAATGTTTGAGCTAATTCATGGGTGGAGTAGGGTAGTGGTTATTGGGATTATAGGGGAACCTACTCCATTCTTTGACCTGACCAATAAATCCCAGTTTTCACTAAGAATTAAACTCTATTCTACACACTGAAATTATACAAAAGTCATGGCTGTAGGAAAACTGCTGTGCTAGGGTGACACTGGGTAAATCATACCTTTCCTCTTAGGTTGTGCTAGGCCTTGAGGAATTCTGTTAACAGAAAGGATATACCCATCTTCAGTTGTAACTTCATACTCCTCACAGGGATAGCCTTTATGTTGAATGATTTCACTCTATGGAAAAAGCACAATTTCTTTTGAGTTCAGCTCTGTATGGCTATATTCTTAGCAATATAAAAGTAAGCATAGATTCCTTGATGCTGTAAGACATAGATGAGAAAGTCCTTGCTTTTCCCCAACTAATTGTGTTATCTTAGAAAAACCAGCCAACCAATCCACCCCATTCCTCACTTCTTTTGTAATGGTGCTGGTAATTGAACCTAGGATCCTAATATAGCCAGCAGGACTCCTTTTCCAGGACAACTTACTGGAGTCCCTGGGCCACGCCTTCCCTAAGACACTTTCAATTCTAAAATAGACTAAAGAAAAGAGATTCTTAATAGTTTTAGATTAAAGCTCCCTCAGTGAATTTGAGGAGAAACATGAAAATGGATACAAGTGTGGGCACACAAAAACATTTGCATATAATTTCAGGCATTTCACATTCATTGTTGGCTATATATGACCCTTTGGTTAAAAATCTCTACTACATGTAGTTGACACCTGTAGAAACTCTTTGAAAAAAAGGAAGTTGCTGAGTTCACCTAAGCATCATCACAGTTCTTGCACACTGTCTTCATCCAGAGAAGGAAGGAACTGTTATTATCAGAGCCTGCTGATAAGAGCAAGGGAGAAGAAACCCAGGTGCCAAATATTTAGTGTAGAATACAGGGCAATAGAACACAGTCATTAAGAGGAAATCCCTCAGGTCTCATGGCTGCCACTGTAAATAACTAAGAAACTAAGTCTCATGGAATTAGTGTACCTGTGTGCATGTGTGTATGTGTGTGGGATCGTTGCATACTTAACTTTAAATAAATTTCAACAAGCATCAGAATTACTTACAGAGCTTGCTAAAGCACAAATTGCTGGACTCTAATCTCAAATTTTCTGACATAGTAGATCTGGTGGACCTGAAGGCGGACCATTTCTAACAAATTGCCCGGTGAAGCTGATTCTCCTGACCCAGGGACTATTCTCCAGGACTCACTGTTGTGGACTACTTGGAGATGACTTGGGTGACAAGATAAATATACCAAACTCAAGAATTGAGGGCCTCCAACAGATGTTATTTCGAGGTTCTATGTAATCTGTCAAGTGAGGGTTGGAGGATGTGAATGAGGAAGGAGTAAAGGAATTCTGAGCAAGGAGCACTAAGCAGGCAGGGCCTTAAGGAGAAAGGAGACGTTGAGTTGAACCTTGAGGATTAAATAGGAGTTAACCAAGAGATCCAAACAGGAGGGGATTAGAGGCATAGACATTCCAGAAAAAACTACAGCTTCAGTGAACATTGTCTAAGGATAGTCAACAGACTATATTTGGCAGAACAATTTATGCAGGATAATAGCAGTTCATAAATTTATAGGCATAAAAATATATTCTAAAGGGTAAGATATTGCTTATGCACTTGCAAGTTTGTGCAACCATATATATTGTAAAACTATGAATATTTAACTCAAGTTTTTTTTTTAATTTACACTTTACAGTTGTATTTAATGTTTAACTTTCAAGCTGGGTGTGGTGGCACACATCTATAAACCTAGCACTCCAAGGCCAGCCTGCACTACATAATGAGACTCTGTCTCACTCCCCCCACAGCCTCTAAAACAAAAGAAGTTTAACTTTCAATCCCATCATCCACCCTTGAAAATTTAACTTAGGGAAAAGGAGACATAGATATGTATTTAAACACATCTGTATGGATGTGTTATTTACAGTAGTAAAAAATTCTGTGGGAGATTGATTAAATAGATACTACGGTGGATGCTGAGAAGCTCCACCCAGATGCCGTTCAGGGAAGGACTTGTGCTGTCTAAAGGGGACGCTGTCAGCTGTCACCCCTTGAGAAGGGCCTCAGTTGTGAGGAAGCACGGCCCCCAAGGTCACGTCCACGACCAATGACTGCTTTGTTTGGGGTATGAGACTGGTTATCTCGGCCCAGCTTTGCAAACTCTGAAGGGCTCTTCTTGCTGCACAGCTCTCACAGGGTTGGCTGAGGCTGGCCTTGAGAGGCAAGTATCACAACTAGCCTTGTTCCTATACCAGTTTCTGCTTCTTTCGTGGTTCTCTCATGGCGGCGCTCTCTCCTCCCTCCTCACCCTCTCTCCTCCTTCTCTCCACTCCTTCCAGACAGACAGGAAGAGGTCTGGCTCTATTGCTCAGCCTGGTCTTGAGCCTCAGCCTCTCAGCAGCTGGGACTACAGGCATGCACCACCAGGCTCTGAAGGTTCTCCTTGATAAACGTTCTGCATATGAGTCCTGCCATATAGTCTGTCTGATCCCCAGGGAATCCAACCTGGAACAAGTATAAACTCCCCAAAATGGAACATAACCTGGGAAGCTGAAATGATATTCTTAGGTTAAGACTTTGGGAAATTGTTCATGGTATGTATTGTTACGTAGAAAAAATTGGAAAACAGTAAATTATGCATAGCATTCTCTTTGTATTTGAAAACCAAAAAAATTCATAGATTTAAAAGAACAAGAGTGTGCATATGAGAAAATTATGAGTGATTAGTTCTGCGTATAGAGTATATTAGTGATTATGGTCCTCTGCGTTTTTCTCCTATTTTTCTATAATGAACACACATTACTATGGTAATCAGAAAAAACCAATTTAAAAGTCAACTAACCCTAACCTACCTTTTGCTCTTAGTGTACAGCAAACCCTTAGCTGCCCCAGTTACCTCACATATTGACCCCTTTGCCACCACAGTCTCTTATTCATCCTTCAGAGCTTAGGCTAAGCTCCCTTCAAAAGTACTTTCCTATGCTTCTCAGCTTAGTTCCTCCCATTCATGTTTTCTTCTTTCATCTCATTACTATTGTTACCAGTAATTGATTATTTGTCTTTCCTGCTTGGTTGTGAGTTTCATTAAGCCAGGACTTCTGAGGATTTTTACATCTTTCTGTGGCTTCATAGCACTGCATCAGTGGTCTGCTATGTGTTCAATAAGCACCTGTTAAAAATATACATGAATGAAGCCACCTGTATACCAGAGGATAGGATAGACTATATAATCCATGTATATCAGTACACAGAGTCAAAACCAATTCTGGCTGTGTGTTGAATCGACATTAATAATTATATGAATATTCTAGTTCCCTTGCCTGGTATAATTTCTCAGTAACAGAGCCCAAATCAATGGCTTTTTGTGGTTGTTGTTGCTGTTGTTGGTTGAGTTAGTCTCCCTAAATTTCCCACATAGGCCTTGAACTTGCAATCCTTCTGCATCAGCCCCCCCAAGTAGCTGGAATCACAGCCATTTCCCCTATGTCCAGCTTTCAATAGATTTTAGTCTTGTGAAACTTGTCCTGAAATCTCAAAGTGTATAGGTGTTCAGTCTACCCAGTTGGTGGGGCTAGGAAAGTTGTCTTTGCACTTAAAGAGACTCCCTCCACCCCAGAATCAGAGGAACATGTATAGGACATTCTCAGGGCCAGAAATGTGACTTTTAAGGGTGGTAACAGCCTGGTAGCTTTCTGGATTAACCATTAGTCAATAATTTGAATGGTCAGAAGAAACCCAATATTTAGAAAAATTCAGAATATTTCTATTCCTGTTTTAGAAGCCAATGGCTTCGATAAAAAGAGTCCTAAACTTAAAGAAATTGGGCTGGGGTTGTAGTTCAGTGGTGGAACCTAGTATTCAGGAGGCCCTGGCTTCTATTCATAGTAACACAAACAGCCAAACAAAACCTTCCTCCTGTGAGGTATTAGGTAAGTACAGGGAGCATGGACTTAGCACGCAACTGCTTTTCTCATCACACCTCTTCTGCTCAGCTGGGAGGGTTTGTTGCATGGTGATTATAATTTTAGGCTTTGTGTTTAGGCAAGCCTGAATTTAAATTGTAGTTCCACCACGTACCAGCCTGGGACCTTGTTTAACTTGCTTAACCTCTTTAATCCTAGTTACTTAATTTGAAAAATGTAGATGATCATATCTTCTGCACAGGGCAGAGAGGATGAAATGAAATAGTATCTATGCAGATTTTATCACAATGTTTACTATGGGATAAGTGTTACTATACATGACCATTATGAAAAGCCAACTTAAAACTGGAAAGTAAGTCCTACCACCCACCAATAAAAATCGTTTGGGAGACCTACAGAGATGTATCGTCATTCATACATTTTACTCATAGAAGGTCTTCTTCAGCACTCAGTATCATTGAGCAGATCAGAATGGCTGCAGATAACACTAATGGTGGGTACACCGAAAGCAAGAAGTCAAAGTTGATACTTTTATAATATAAGAGAAAGTAGGAAAAGAGGAAAAATACAGACAAAATGGAAATAATCAAGAATCTTAAATTGGCCCCAAATACCTCAATTATTTCTTTGCTCATAGGATGAACCTAAGAGTTCAAAGAATAATTAAATGGTGTTTGAAACTCAAAAGGATTAAATCATTCACCCAGATTTACTTGATTTGTTTGAAGAGCCTCAAGATCTACTAACCCCCAGATTGGCATTTCTTCAGTCTAGTGTGATACTTCATTAGGATACTCTCCTAGGATGAATCACCACCATAGAAAAATGTAATATACAATGCAGATATGAACATTAACATTTAAGGCACTTCACATCCCCATAATGTTATGAAAACCTCAACTTACAATATTCATGAATGCTTCGGGGTCCACAGCTTTAGTTGGCAAATGTCCTGAGTTCACATTTCCTTGAAGCAGATACGCCACCAGAATCAGAAGCCACATCTCCACTCTGTGAGAAACAATCCAGGCTGTTGACAGGATTTCTGACATGGTCCAATATCTGCATTTATTTTTCCCTGACAATATAATAACTACATCTAAAGTCAGAAGGATCTGTAGGTTTAAAACTTGCTTATATATTTTCTAGCTTCAATTTCTTCCCTCAATTCTGAAGCAAATTAAGTAAGTTTAGTTGGTAGCAATGGAAGAATACCAAGCAAGCTGAAAACTTTGCTCTTGATGTCTCAATACCATCAAGCTCCGCCTGCTTCTCTGTCACAGTCACAAAATTATAATCACCAATCCCTCAACTTCTAGGTGTGTAAAGCTTTCTTTGATGCAACTCGGAGATTAACACATATGAGACAGCCCACAAACCCTTGTTCTTCCCCACCAGTAATAAGGATCATAGGAAGCATCTTCCTCCTACTCCTCCCTACTTTTCATATTTCTTTGATGAGTAGAAAGATATGAAGTCTGCAGAAAACATGATGAGTGCTTATAGTCTGATTCTGTAGCTTCAGTGATCATTGTCTTTTGGTTGAAGAACAAAAGTAGTCAAAATGACTTTTATTTAAAATGCCCCAACTTTAAGATTTTTTTTTTATTTTTAGGGATGATTAGGCATATTATTTAGCCCATTCCATATGTTTAAATAGATATATATGATATTAATTTTGGTTTGTAATCACTAATTTCTAGAAGATTGGCACCTAATAATTAAATCATCTGCAATAACTAAAATAATGAGTTTCAGCCTAGTTATTTTCATAAACTAAATGTCCCAGTTCAATTGTCTGTGGTGCAATATGAGCTATTACCTGGTCTATTAATAACTGAGCAGGCCAGAAAGGAAGATTTATCTGTCATTTTAAATAAAAAAATGTTTTGGAAGTTAATAAAAAAAATACTAATTGAAATATTTTTCTACTTTTGTAGTAGCTCCTCATAGCTGAGCTTTCAGCAGCCACAGCACACTGAGTTCCAGAGTTGGGGAATGCGTGGGTGAAGAAGCAGAAGCTGGAACCGGAAAGGCGAGTAGATGAGTGGTGTCTGCCCGTGTGACTCAGCCTCTCCACACAGGGCTGGCTGGGTAGTGTGAAGAGGCAGCCCTGCACCCTTACCTGGGCCAATGTGGAGTCTGGTCTTGCCCACCACTGCTGACTGCATGCTCAAGAGGAGTGACTGGACCTAATTTAAGAGCAGGGGGAACAGCTGTCCAGCTCTGTCAAGCTCCATGACTTCAGAACCAATGAAGTTAGGCAAAATGGAATCTCTGAGAAGAACTTTGCCTTGCACTGTTGACATTTTAGGATTTTAAAATGCTGTATAGCCAAAAGAAAAAAATCTCATTCAGCTTTCATTTTTAGAAATGTGCAGATACTATAAATGACTTGCTCAATATTGGCTAGATTGTGGCAAGATGAGGCATAAACTTCAGATATTTAAATTCACTGCTGAGTATTATGACCATATGAATAATCATTTCAGTGTCTTCCACACCTTTTAAAGGTGAAACCTCATCCACTACAGAAAGCAATTATATCACTCTCTGTATATTGTTTCTTTAAGAAGTTCTCTTCTGGATTTGTGTGTGTGTGTGTGTGTGTGTGTGTGTGTGTGTGTGTGTGTGTATGTGGCCTGCGGACTGAACCTAGGACCTTTGCACTGAGCTATATCCCCAGGCTTTTAAAATTTTATTTAATTTTGAGACAGGGTCTTGCTAATTTGCCCAGGCTGGGCTTGAATTTGCAATCCTCCTGCCTCAACTTCCCAGAGTGCTGTGATTACAGATGTGTCCCACCACAGCCAACTTCTTCTGGATTTAAATTCAGAATAATTCCCAATGATGTCATTACAAATTTGGTAGATACAATGTACCTGTAATTGCTCCAAAATGATCAACTTCTATATTGAGTGAATATACCTGTGAATAGTATAAAGACTTATTAATGAGGGATTTGGTGGCAGTAAACAGAGTAGTTCAGAAAAAAAAGTCTTGTTTTTCAAAATGAAACTGCAAATTCTCTTGCAACTCCTTCTCATTTTTGGTTGAATTACAGATTAGAGGACTCTCAAAGTGGTGCTCCTTTACCTCCAGTATGGAACTGAGTTTTAGTGAAGTAATTTTTTCAGGCTTAAAAACCACAAATTTAGCCTGATGGGATGGTGCACACCTGAAATCCCAGCACACGGGGGCTGAGCCAGGACGATTGCCATGAGTTGGAGGCCAGCCAGTGTTACATAGTGAGTTCAAGATCAGCCTGAATTACATAAGGAGATCCTGTCTCAAAACAAAAAAAAAATATTGAAAGAAACCCCCCACAGACTTGAGGGCTTGGGGGCGTGCCACAGAACCAATCTGAGAGTCAAAATTAAAGCTCTTATCGTAATCATTGTATGATCAAATAAGCAAAATGTTTGTGCTGAGTCAAACTCACACCCCACCCCTTCTGTTAACAGGAGCCTCCGGAGGTCTTGAGGCAAACGGGTGTGGTGTAGCTGCCCTCCTAGCTAGTCAGACGGTTCTCACTCCGACTTTGCTGGGTATCTTAGTTACATCAGTTCACATGAGAAGACTTTTCATATACTGCACCCCAGTGCTGAAATATTGCCCACCATTCCACATCGAAAGAAGCAGATGTCTTCTTATGTCTGACTCCTAGCATTGGGCTACGAGTTGAACCTTAGTTCAACTTAGGAGATTCTAGTTCTTCCTTCTCAAAATCTAACTAGCAATGAAAAAATTTAAACACTATTCAGTGTAAGCAGTAATTAAGAAGATAGGCTATGGGGCGGGGGATGTAGCTCAGTGGTTCTGCTGCCTCCCTCACAAGCACAAGGTCCTGAGTTCGATCCCCAGTACCAAAAGAAGAAGAAGAAGAAGAAGAAGAAGAAGAAGAAGAAGAAGAAGAAGAAGAAGATAGGCTGTGGAGTCAGATAAAAAGGTCCATTACTTGTTGTGTATGTGGCTTTGGTATGTTTTCCTCCTTTTCCTAAGGCTCCGTGACCTTATTTGTGAGATGTGAATAGCAATAATGCCTCGCTCTCACCTAGGGCGGCTGTGAAGGTTAAAGGAAATAAGAATGCACTTTGAGAGCTTGTTTGGAGATTATAGCAGGGGAGCTCAGCTACTTGTATATCCTTGACCCGGGAAATGGCTCAACTATGTTGTGGAATGTCATCCTCTCAGACTGAGTGGGCAGCTTTGGGAGGGACACACGTGGAACAGTGAGGGAGAAAGGGGACACTCGCCTAGCCAGCCAGATCAGCCAAATCAACCCTGAAGATCAATGTGGTGACAGATGCCACAGCCAGATCTTTTGCAAATGGGAAGGGGACCAAGGGTAGGAGGGAGAGGAGGAAGAAAGGGAGGGAGAGGGGACATAAAAACAATTGAGATGTGTTGTGTGCATATACTAACTCTCTACAATGAATATAATCATTATGTGCTGCAAATGTGTACTAATTAAAAAACAAAAAAGGAATGCAGGGTCTGGTGCAGAATGAGCTCCCCTTTCATCTCAGCAAGTTTACTTTATGCACAATGGGTTCAGCTCTCTGTCCCAAAACTTGTTAGTTGAAGCAGGATATCTCTATCAACTCAGGAAGCTAGGAAATACCTGGTGTGGAGAATGGCAATCACATGCTGCATACATTAATTCAAGTGTGAATTCTGACTTCAACCCTTAAAGGGTCAGTGATCTGCATCATTCTGCTCAATATCTCAGAGCCTCAGATAATCTAACCTTAAAATAAGATGCTATAAAGATAAATGCAAAAAATCTATACAACTTGGAACCTGTGATATAGTAGGTATTTAAAGAATTGTAGTGCCTTTCTCTTTTTCTTTTTCTTCTTAAATGAACCTATGGCATGGATATAAATTTGGTGACATAAATTTTCACTTTTTTTTTCAGAACTAGGCTTAATAAAATTACTTTTTTTGAGACAGAGTCTCACTATGTAGTTCAGGCTGGCCTTGGACTCACTATGTAGCCCAGGCTGGCCTCGAACTCTGTGAGATCCTCCTGCCTCAGCCTTCTGAATGCTGGGATTACATAAGACCACATTTTGAAGCTAAAAATCACAAACTTCATAAACCATTTACTTCAGCCTTATTTTTCTTTCTCTATTACAAATTTTAGGATAAGATTATATAATTTAATAGGAAATTAGAGAATGCATATTTGAGGTAAAATTTCAGACTAAGATGTTCATCCTGCTTCTCTTTCTGACACTAATTCCCACAAACAGTCTGATGTGTATACTTCAAGGAATTTTTTTGTTCCAAATAAGCTTATAACTTGGACAGACATTTATAACTCTAGTGATAAAAATTAATAATAAAATAGATGTTATATTTACACATTTATACATATTTCTAACCTTTTATTTTACATTACCTGCAGATTTATTTACATCTGATCCTGAAGGTTAATTTACAGAAAAAATAAAAATAACCATCAAGGCATTCTTTCCCTAGAACTCCTTAAAGATAAACCAATCTCATTCCAGGGGGATTTGTGGGCCTTGAAATCCTGGCCTTTACTTCACCCAATTCATGAAATCAGCCACAGGTACTGTATTTCCTAAGGCAGTGATTCTCAAGATATGTTCCCTCGAGTACTAGCATCAGCTGGAATGGAATTGGGCGACAGATGAAAATTCAAGGACAAAGGCAGGAAGGATTCTCCCCACATTTACCTCTAGGAGTTCCATAGTGTCAGGCCTCACATTGAAGTCTCTGATTCACACTTGGCTGATTCTTGTATATGGTAAAAAATAAGGGTCTCATTTCATTGTTCTGCATGTAGACATCCAGCTTTTCCAGCACCATTTCCTGAAGAAGCTGTCCTTCCCCACTGTATGTACTTGCCACCTGTGCCAAACTGGCTGACTGGAGAGGAGTAGATTTATTCCTGGAGTCTTTATTCTGTGCCACTGGTCTAGATGTCTTTTTTATACCATTGTCATACTGTTTTGATTACTCTGCCCCTGTGTAGTCTATTTTGAAGCAGGTACTGTGATGCCTCCAGCTTTGTTCTTTCTCAAGATTGCTCCAGCTATTCGGAGTCTTGTGGTACCAAGCCAATTTAGGATTCTCTTTTTCTATTTTTGTGAGTCATGTCATTGGTATTTTGATAGGGATTACATCGAATCTGTATAGTGTGAACATTTAAACAACATTAATTCTTCCAATTCGT